ATTGTTAATGGTTTATTTCAAGCCATCATTTTGCTTTATTTTAAGTCAACATGGTATTCTGTCATGCACTCTATTGTGCTGCTCTTTTTTGTTTCACTAACTAAATAGTATACCATGTAATTGTTGCAGCTTTCCATTTACTTGTATCAATGGCTCCTGTAACAGCAGAAGCATGTTCCGATTCGATAAAGCCTAGAGGTGCTTCATTTTCTCTGTTTTATATTTATTTCTAAATTCAGAACTTTTTTTTGTCAGCTTTTGTGGCCCAGGTGCTGCATTAGAAACTTTAGCAAACATGTTAAATATACTCTTGAAACCCACTGGTGTTTTTGCTTATTTCTCTGTGATCAATTTACGTTTTCTGCTTTTATGTACTAACTACTTGCGTCTACTTTTGCTCACATTGATAATTACTAACATTTGAGATTTTTATTTATTTGGAACGCTGGTTTTTTAAGTTTCAAAATGTTTTCTATATTTAATCTTATTGGTTATAATGCAGATGTTTACATCGTTGGTGTTGCACGAACACCAATGGGTGCCTTTCTTGGTGCACTTTCATCTTTACCTGCCACCAAGCTTGGGTCTATAGCTATTGAGGGTAAGTAAGAGATCTCCTACTTCCTTAATGGGGTAATGTTTCAGATTTTTAGTTTCTATTGTTTAATAGGTTTCCTCTTCTGATTTTACATATTCTTTTATGTCAACCTGCAGCTGCTCTTAAAAGGGCCAATGTTGATCCATCACTTGTGGAAGAAGTTTTCTTCGGAAATGTTCTCAGTGCAAATCTGGGGCAGGCTCCTGCTAGACAAGCTGCATTAGGTGCAGGAATACCTAATTCAGTGATCTGTACCACTGTTAACAAAGTCTGTGCATCAGGGTTGAAAGGTGCAACACCATAATTTTTTCTACTCTTTTTTTTTCTTTCAACAACAAATTTTATTTTTTGGTAGGAAAAATGATTTTAGAATAACACAAATTTAATTTCGATGATTGCAGCTACTATGCTTGCAGCACAAAGCATCCAGTTGGGCATCAATGATGTTGTTGTGGCTGGTGGCATGGAAAGCATGTCTAATGTGCCGAAGTATCTTGCAGAAGCGAGGTTAATACTTTGTCTGATTCATGGCTCTCTTGGACTTTAAAATGAAAATTCAACAGACACTGATTTGATACAAAATGCAGGAAGGGATCTCGACTTGGACATGATACTCTTGTTGATGGAATGCTGAAAGATGGTTTGTGGGATGTCTATAATGATTATGGCATGGGAGTGTGCGCTGAATTATGTGCTGATCAGCATGCAGTAACAAGGGAGGACCAGGTAATACTTATATTTAAGCCCTTTTATACAATAAAATGTTGTAGCACATTACCATCATAGAGAAGTTTATTTATATGTGTTTGTGGCTGCTGCAGGATAACTTTGCTGTTCAGAGCTTCGAGCGTGGTATTGCTGCCCAAGGCAATGATGCCTTTTCATGGGAAATTGTTCCAGTTGAAGTTTCTGGAGGAAGGGGAAGACCATCAACAATTGTTGATAAAGATGAAGGTCTAGGAAAGGTAAAATAATAAATCATGCTTATGTCAGTCAGACACCCAGGCAGATCTATCTTTTTCTTGCACAAAATAAAATCTCCTATAGTTGTCCCCTCCTAACAGGAATGCAGTTTTTGAAGTAGATAGTTTCAATCAATGCTTGAAAGTAGAGATATCTCATTTTCATCCTTTGCAGTTTGTTCAGCCAGCATTCTTCTTAGTTGTCCTCTCCTAACAGGAAGACAGCTTTAGAAGTAGATAGTTTCAATGTTTGAAAGTAGAGATATCTCATTTTCATCCCTTGCAGTTTGTTCAGCCAGCGTTCTTCATGGTATATAGGGAGGAAGAGGGGGTGGGGAAGAGCAGTCTACAAAGTTTTAACTATAATGAACTGTTATAATCCTATTTTCTTTCATTTTTATTTTGAGTTCGAGTCTGTTACTTGTCATTGCTAAGTGATAATAAAAAGTAGAAGTCTATGTGAATCACATTCCTTGAGCTCACCCCAGCTTTTTTGTGATGCCAGTTTGATGCTGCCAAATTACGGAAGCTCCGACCAAGTTTTAAGGAGAGTGGAGGTTCTGTTACTGCTGGCAATGCTTCCAGTATAAGGTTATTAATTTATACATATTTATGTTCAATGATTTTTATTTAATTTCCTTCATCCAATTATTTATTGTTTACATAGTCATGCTTCGAGCCACAAGGTCACTGCAATAAATTTTCTTGTCTGATGTGTTTTTATTGCCTCTCTTGTTATCCCTTTTACAGTTTTTGGAATGGGCAAAAAATTCACTTGTTAGGATGTCATTGGGTTGATTTTTAATAGATGGAACCAAATGCAGTGGCCTTCCATTTTTGGTTTCATAAGTCTTACAAACACATGAACCCAAGTTTTAATGAAATCTTGAATTCCTTTCATCAACAGTGATGGTGCTGCAGCATTAGTTTTGGTGAGTGGAGAAAAGGTATTGAAGCTTGGGCTACAAGTGATAGCAAAGATCGGTGGATACGCTGATGCTGCTCAGGTACTATAGTAGTTTTTGTATATCTGAACAAGATGAGCCACTGAAGATCTTGAAAGTTGAAAATCCATTTTTTAATATCATTTGTACTGCTATGCTTACATGAAATCGATTGTGCAGGCACCAGAATTATTTACAACTGCTCCTGCTCTTGCAATTCCCAAAGCTATTTCAAATGCTGGCTTGGAAGCTTCTAAAATTGACTTTTACGAAATCAATGAAGCCTTTGCTGTAAGCTATTATAACTAATGCCAAGCTTTTAAAATATTAGCTTCTCAAGGCTGTCAATCATTAATTGGTACGTTTCTTTTTGTGTACAGGTTGTGGCTCTTGCAAATCAGAAACTGCTTGGACTTAACCCAGTAAGTTCTCTCTCTCTCTCTCTCTCTCTGTACACGCACAACACAGACATTTACAGTATCCACATGTGGGCAAACTAGCACACACATACTAGCATAGCAGTTCAGATTTGCTCTTATCGCTCATCTTTGCTGTCCTGGTTTCAGGAAAAAGTTAATGTGCATGGTGGAGCTGTAGCATTGGGACATCCCCTAGGTTGCAGTGGAGCTCGTATCCTGGTCACCCTTTTAGGGGTACATATTATTCACTTTCTATTTTTTCTAGGGAAAACATATTACATTAAGAATGAATAAGCTATGATATACCTTTTTGGTATCCTTGCTCTCTCTCTATCCCTATCTCTATCTCTCTTTCTCCCCCACATCTCCCTTTTTTATTCTAGCCTTTACCCTAATTTCCAAGCCCCTTATCAAAGTGCAATCATGTTGTAGGTACTGAAGCAGAAGAGTGGGAAATATGGTGCTGCCGGTATTTGCAATGGTGGAGGTGGTGCATCTGCCCTTGTTTTAGAGCTGTTGTAAGCGAGTTTCATTTCGATTACTGGTAAGTTTCGTGCATTCCACTGTCAGAAATGGCGAATTATTATTTACTCATTAGCATTTACTGGGATCTGTTTCACCTATTTTTGGCTTTGTGGACTTTTCCAAAACCAGAGCTTTTCACCCAAAAAAAAAAGTCCATTTGCTTATGAGTTACATGACTTGTGTTTCAGGTCAGACGCCGAGGTTGGACCTTCTCGTGTGAGATGAAACTGCCATTACCAAAAAGTGCCTGTTGTGCAAGTTTCTTCTCCATTTCTTTGTATTTGATTTGCTTCCCAATAAATTACAAGTGTATTTATAGATTTTAGAAGAAATATATTTCCAACACTGTTCACAGTCTCTCTCTCTCTCTCTCTCTCTCTCTCTCTCTCTCTCTCTCTCTCTCCCCCTCAGAGCAGTTTCAGGATTTTATAAGTGGTTTGGGTGATTCTGATAATCCACCTATGGGTTTGCCAACAACAAAACCAGTTAGCACAAAACTAAAGGGCGATCTCAGTTAATTCCACAATATCTAGTGTCTTCCAAAAAGAAGATTACACGATATCTAGTACGAGGCACAGTTAATTAGCAGTTTGATCAAACAACACTCTCTGCCTCCTATTTTGTTTTGCACAAAAAGAACCAAAATGTGAGCTCAAAACAAGAAGCACAATTTTTGAGGGTGCTGCTTCAAGCTGCTATTAAGAATAGCATCCATAATCATCCTCGCTATTTTTCAGTTAAATTTTAGTTAAAAAACATATAAAAGTTATTTTAGGAGCTCTTTATAAAATTAAAACTTCAATCGTGCTCTCTAGTTTACTAAGTCATAAATGCTATAACTCTTTTTTAATTGGTCTATCTCTATAAAATTATCATTAATTAAATGTTTGAAATACTCATTAAATAAAGCTACATTAAATTATAGGACATTTCAATAAATAAATAAAAACATAATCCAAGGGGAAACACCTGTCAAGAAGTTTGCTTACAAAAAAAGTAGGAGATTCTACCTACAAATTTTTTTGTACTTATCAAAATTATCATATTTTAGATGTTAATATGATGTGGTCATATATTAATAATATTAAAAAGTAAATTTAAGTTTTAGCCATAAAAAAACTTTCACTTTTGGAAAAAGCCAAAGCTTTTTCAAAAAAGACAGAAAAACCTCTCAACTTTCAAATCAAAGACATGCAAATGTAAAGGATTCCTTAGGAAATCCAAAAACCGTCGCTAGCAAAACTTAAACGTACACACCAAAAACTCAAAAGTAGTGAGATTTTCTCGTTCATTAAAAAAAAAAAAAAAAGACCACACTGTTTTCGTTCGGTCCCAAAAAGATAGCAACAATCTTCGTTGTTTTTTGTTTTTTGGCCAGAACAACATTTTCAGTATATTCAAGGAATTTATACTGTTCACCATGGAAGGAAATAGACAGAAGTGTATGGTGCATAGCTGGAAGCACCAATCAGCGTTTAAATTGTTCAAATAGTGGGCCCCGCATAAAGCCCATTCCATTCCCCATATATCAATTGCATGGCCCATTGACCCACACAAACACCCCCCCATCTCTCTCCTCTCCTCCCCCTTCTTATTCTTTAGCTGACCTCACCTAAGAAAAGTAGGACTCATCATCTTCTTCTTCTTCATCATTATCATTCATCAACTCCTTCAATACCGAACAGCTCAAAATCCCTAAACGTAGCAAAAGCAGTCACCTTTTTCGTCTTTGTTCTCGAGAAATCTCAAAGCGAAGGCCATGGGGGTAAGCTGCCAAGTCCTTTGATTTCTTTACTGCGTCTGTTTGCTGTGTTTGATCTGAGACTCTTGAGTTTCTGTGGAGCGATTCATTCCACTTTCAGTTTTCTGGTGTTGCTGAAATCAATATATAGTCCCCCCCCTGATGCTTTAAATTCCCTTCATATCCTTTTGGTTTCTAATTTTGAACAGAAGCTTCTCATGTATGAATATGATGTATCTAACTGGTGTTTGTTGTTTTCTGTAAGTTTTTCTTTCTGGGTTTCAGTTTATTTTTAATTCTTAGTTTTCCTTTCAGTAAAAGTTACTATTTTTAGCTTCTTGTTTGCTTCATACTAAACTGAGTATTTGATAATCAAATTATTTGGGCTTCGACAGATAAGCATATCTGATTGCTACTTGTGTGTGTGTATCTCTATGTGTGCAAAAGTTGCTCTGTGTTTGTTATGTTGAATGGCCAAATGTAGTTTGCAAAACAGACTGCGTGTTCCAACTTTAGTGGCTTCAAGCTAGCTCAATGGTTTAGTATCTAATATTTTAGATGTTCAAGACTTGCAATGGGTTCTTTTTGGAGGGTAAGCCACTCGACAAGCAGGAGTAAGGCTGTGTACGGACGTCTAACCCTCCTCAGACCTCGAAATGGTGGGAGCTTGGTGCACTGGACTGCCCTTTACAATGGATTATTACTTGGCGTCCTGTCTGGCTATTTGTACTTGCCTTCTTGGGTTCTAAAGTCACCCAATCTGATAGGCGTTTAGAAAATAAATTGATATTTTGTTCCTTTTAAGCATGTAGTAGTTGACAGCAGATCTCTTACAATTTCGTTGAATTTCAAACCTCTTCTTTTGGGAATACCTTCATATTGAGGAGTAAATACTTGCATGAATATTTATAAACCAAAGCATGAATACATATGAGTCTATGAGTTCCTATAACTTGATCATTTATTCTTATGCATTAGAATTAAGAATACCTAATATTGATAAGTGGTTTTTTTTCGATGAATGGGAGTCAACCATCACCTTAATTTTAGTCATCTTATTGTTATTTAGATTTCGTTTGCCTTTATTTCTCCATGCAAGCATCTGAGCATTGAACATGGCAATAAATAAGATTATGTTATTACATATCAATTTGGAACGCTTTGACTTCAGATGATTGATTCCCTCCAGTGAAATTTTGTCAATCCACAGGAAAAGGGTGTGCCGTTGCCAAAATTTGGTGAATGGGACGTCAATGATCCAGCATCAGCTGAGGGATTCACTGTAATCTTCAACAAGGCTAGGACTGAGAAAAAGGCAGGTGGAAGACCTGACTCACCATCAAAGGATGACCACGCATTTAAGCACGGAGCAGTTCTTGGAAAGCCTCCCGCTGTAAGTTGTACTTACTTACCTTACACTGTTCCCCACTTTGGAAAGCCTTCATCTCTTTTATGCTTGACTCATTTTGTATTTGCATAGCCATATCTTGTCCTAATGGCTGAAAAGCTGGAGGGCTGGTTTAGGTTGAAAACATAGAAGATTCATTTGAGCCATAATGAGTTTTGAATGTACAGTACTAAAAGCTGGAGGGCTGGAATCTTTACATATTAAGTATCACAGTTACTAAATTTGCATATAATTCTTTACTTCCCAAATTATGTTAGACTAACTGCGGGCACTACCAGGAGGTGGTATTTTTATCACTTCGAAGTTCATGTTAGATTTTATTTGAACTTTGCATTATCCCTATTAAAATTACATTATTTTAGTGCCTAGTAATTCTGATTTTGAAACTAGTCTATGTACAACTGTAAAGTGACCGTTGTGGTTTCACAATATACAGAATTTTCTTCTGCAAGTGACCTCAATATTGGCTTGACAATGCCATAATCTTTTTTATACCCTGAGCCTGAATATACTGCATAATCATGGATTCCTTGGCTACGCTTTTACTAAAATGCCTCAGAACCTTCTCTTTTTCATGTATATTTGGTTTTTGTTGCTTGCAAATTTTATTGTCAGTTTTCAAAATTTCTGCATTCACTTTAGTCCACATTCCACACCGTTGAAGCATATTAAACCAATTTCTTTTTTTCCCATGCTCACTTGCGTGCCACCTGTTGATTTCGCAAATGTATTTGTTTCCCTTTCCATCTTTTCACTTGCCAAATTTTACCATCCTCATTTTGGTAAGCCGCTCATCTTTCGTTGTCAAATGATGTCCAACTAATGTCGCACCAAAAAGAAAAAGAAAGATATCTTGTTCTTAAGCTACATGATAGCTTCAAAAGGGATATAATGATTGGATTTTGATGGTTTTTTTGGTTTGATTTGTAGAAGAAATGGTTTTGCTGCTTGCGTGCGGAATCGTGAAGAGGCACCTACCATGTCATAAACTTTACAGGAGATATTATTATGTAGTAATGCCCCCATGCCGATATGTATTCCAGAAGACTGGAGCTGTGTTCAGAAGCCGTGATTGGTCCTGCTGGAATCTGTTTGCTGTCTTTATGAACATTGGTAGAAATGTGGGCTTATTTGGGGACAGACATGATTGGAAAATGATACTGTTTTACATTTATGTATACTGGTAAACTATATTTGCATGTAGCTTTATCTTCTTGAATCAATGCTTGATTCTGAGTTTATCGTGACTCTTCGTTTCCTGTGTTCGATTCAGTTTGAGTTTCGTTGTGACTGTATTTGCATATTGGTGCAATGTGTAGCTTTCTGTTTTCTTTTATATGAAGTAATTTTTCCCCCTTCAACTATCTCTGAGTTGGGAAGTTCCAAGCTTTAATGACTCCGTTGATTTGTTTGAAAGTTGCTTCTTCTAGTTATCGTCTAATAGGAGCATACTTTTGGTCTCTTATGAATTCGAAGTCTGCTTAACATTCACTCATAATCTTTGTTTTACTCAAACAACCCTTCACATTTTTTACAATTTGTTTTACTCAAACAACCCTTAATGTTTTATTCGAGTAACAATGAGCATGACTGAGGGTTTAAAAACAACTTGTTACATGTATCATTCATTGGATCAATCAAGGATTTTTGTTAAGGAGGTCTTACTAGGTGAGCGGGACCATTCAAACGGATGCGCCACAAAATTGAATTGGATGGTATTCTGTTTTTGCCATACAAACCAATGTCCACCCTGAGGCAGCCTCAACTGACAGATACCACAACATGATCTTACAAATCAATCAGAAGGCATCAAATTAGCTTCCAAAAATCGATTCAAGTATGAATGACAATAATCAACTCAAATAGGCTGACAGTAATAAAAAAAACCATCTTTAAAACATTAACTCCTGTGAATGGTACAGATTCCGTTTTGTGATATTTCAATGTCAATATTTTCCATTTTCTAATATTACAATCAGTAAATAGGCAAAGGTAAGTAGACAACTGATCTAAACCCTAGATGATCCAAGCTTGCGTTCAAACAAACGTTTCAAGAGAACAACTTGGAGGATGCTAACTCCAATGAGTGCTCCTGATTCAATTAACGCCTTGTGGGTTGCTCTGCGGCCCATTCCTTCATTCACTGCAGGCCAGTTATATAATATGTCAACATATATTCCAAGATTAGGGGACAATGCCCAGATAAAGCTTGACTAATCACCCTATTAGTTTCATGTGCACATGCGTGGCATGCCAATGCAAGTGCAAAATGATGTACTTCTTGAAGTACCATAGTTGGAATCATACTCATTAGAAACTAAAATAGTTTACACTCCCACTTATGTTTAAGGAAAAGAAATCGAAATTTGACATAGAAAAGACGGTTCTTCAAATAATACCTATTGCCTGGCGGTCAGTCTCGGCCTCTAACCAATGTTGTTCAAATTGGATGTTGAAAAGGGCTTCCTCCAATTTCGCTATCTGCTCCAGCAAGGGTGTAAAATGCTCTGCATAGATTCACAGAACAGTTAGTGATCACTCTTCAGCTAAAAAGAAGATTAATTTCGAAACAAACTGCGGGGGTGAAATGGAATAACATGTAATGGACACTCACCATCTTTAGCATGCTGGTCATAGTAAGTAAAGTGAGCAGCATGTACATCAAAGTCAATGGTTTCATGGTAAGGAGACTTATTAGTGAAGCAGAACTGGTGAACACCTTGCTTCTGAACCACAAACTCAAACTTCTCGCTCGTCTTGTCACGTATGTCATTAATTTGTTCACCAGAAGGCCCCTTTATCTGGAGATATTGGAAACAAAGCTCCAAGTAAATGATAGACTATGGAATTGCCACCATTACCATTGTTATGTTATTCAATAAACAGCAATGTCCTAATTGAAAAACCAACTTGGATTGTCTTATAACTTTTGCTTAAACCAGTAACCAAAAAGACCCCGACATTCTAATTTACATTCCATCTCCCATTTTCATAAACAGAAATCCACAATCTTT